CCCAAAATCCCAAGAGGACAATGGAGGAGAAGGGACTGTGGCATGGCCATTCCCCCAGGAGGTGAATTCTTACTTTCTGTCTGTCTCTATGGCGAATATACATGCCCTATAGCAAAAATCTCACTTTAAAAAAAACAAAAAACCTTGAAACTGAATAAAGCTAACACTTAAATCAATAATAAAAAAAAACTAAAGTAAAAATTTAAGTCACTGCATTTTTTTTAAAGGTTTTTGCCATAGGCACATGTGCTCACTAGAGAGTCAGTGAAAAGTAAAGTGAGAAATCAACCCCCAGGGGCATGGCCACACAGCAATCCCTTCTCCATTCTCTTCTTGAGATTTTGGGCATGCATGCACTTGTGCCTAAAGTGACTTTCAAGCCACCAGCTCTGGGACTCAAACCAGGTTGGCTGTGTTGGAGTCCAGCACCGTAACCACTACACTACCTGCTGGTCCTGCGTTTACTTATTAAAGGTCATCATTTTGAAAATGTGAATGGTATCTGAAAAGAAATCCACTTCTACTTACCTGCTGCTGAAATCTAACCATATTCATCAATTGCTGAGCTCCTGGTGATAACTTTGACCCCATGGACTCCATTATAGTTTGGACTTTGTCAAGGTCTATTCTTGATCCTAGAGTAGGAGAGCTTGTTGAAGAATTTGCTGAAACCAATCTCATGTGTACCATAACTTTCCTGATGAACACACATTGCTTTTCACCAAAAGAGAGCAACTATTAAAAAAAAAAAGTTCCAGAAAATAAAGATATTAAAACAATCATTATTTAAGGTCGCTTCCTGATAGTCCCTAAACAAGAGTATATTCAAGAATCTAAAAGTTTGGGACCAGCAGTTAGCATAATGGCTATGTCGCTGAACTCTCATGTAGTCAACCGTGGTTCAAGTTCCAGACTTGGTGGCATAAACTCACGCCGGGCACGTATGCATGCGTGCCCAAGATCCCAAGAGGAGAACGGAGGAGAAGGGATTGTGGCGTGGCCATCCCCCCGGAGGTTGATTTCTCACTTTCTCTCTGTCTCTCTGGCTAGCGCACATGCCCTGTAGCAAAAACCTCTTAAAAAAAAAAAGAATCTAAAAGTTAATTTTAATGTATTTTTAAGTTTTCTGAGGAAAACAATCTAATTTATCATGAGGAACTACTTAAACTAACTTTACAAACTAAAAAATCACACATAAGGGACCAGCAGTTAGCGTAATGGCTATGTTGCTGGACTCCCACGTAGTCAACTGCGCTTCGAGTCCCGGACCTAGTGGCTTAAACTCACGCTGGGCACGTGTGCATGCATGCCCAAGATCCCGAGAGGAGAATGGAGGAGAAGGGATTGCGGCGTGGCCATTCCCCCTGGGGGGTGATTTCTCGCTTTCTGTCTCTCTGTTTCTCTCTGTCTGGCTGGCGAGCGCACACGCCCTATAGCAAAAATCTCTCCAAAAAGAAAAAAAAATCACACATAAAATAACAAAAGCAGGGGGGGCCAAAGCAAAAATCTCTCCAAAAAGAAAAAAAATCACACATAAAATAACAAAAGTGGGGGGGGCCAACAGATGGTGTAGCAGGTATGTCACTGGATTCCCACATGTTTTAGTCCCACACCTGGTGGCTTGAAAATCACACTGGGTGCATGTACGTGTGTGCCCAAGATCCCAGGGGGAGAGTGGAGGAGAAGGGACTGAGGCATAGCCATTCCCCCTTAGGGGTTATTTCTCATTTTTTTCTCACTGTCTCTGTTTCTGCCTGTCTCTCTGGTGAGCACATATGCTCAAAGGTAAAATACTCTAAAACAAAAATAACAAATGGGAAAGCTAAATAATTTAAGGAATTAAAAATAAATTATACAGAATCAGCTGGTGGCATGATGGTTAAGGCTACTGAATCCCACATGACCATCTGTGTGGTTTGTATCCTGGACCTAGTGGGACACGCTGGGCATATGCACATACATGACCAATATCCTGAAAGAAGAAAGAGTGGAGAAGGGACGGCAGCATGGCCATCCCCATGGAGCATGCTTCCTTACTTCCCCCACCTCTCTGTCTCTCTCTGACAAGCACATGCACGGGCTAGCAAATTTAAAAATAATTATACCAATCCAAGACCTTAACATACACAATATGCTGTGATAGTACTTAATAAAATTGAAAGTGTCCAGAAGTCCATACAAAGTATTTATAAAATATTAAACACAATTCAGTCTGAGAATTTAGAATGCTAAAGGCATATCAAGATGAAGTAACACAGCTTTTTGGTTTACACATAAAAAAGATGAGTTCGGATTAATTTTTTTTTTCAGGTTTTTGCCATAGGGTGTGTGCACTCACCAGAGAGAGACAGAAAGAGGGAAAGTGAGAATTCACCCATCAGGTGGGATAGCTACATTGCAATCCCTTCTCCTCCATTCCCCTCTTGGGATTTGGGGCATGTGCACATGTGCTTGGTGTGATTTTTCAAGCCGCTGGGTCTGGGAATCAAATCACAATTGGCAGTGTGGGCGTCCAGTGCTTTAACCACCGTGCCAACTGCTGGCCCAGTAGCAATTATTCTTCCTTTAATTTTCACATACTATTGCCCCCAAACAAGTTTTTATACATACTCCAAGGCTCCCATAAATGAAATAACATTGCACTCCCATGTCCTTCTACAGAACAACATTCACCTTCTGAGACACACAGAAACCCAGCTGTCACTCAAAGATATAGGTCAATACCAACCCATGACCTAAAAGCCGAGTGTGGTACCAGAGATATGACTGTGCTCAACAATTAAGGAAACACCTTAAATTTATATGCCCATCATTCAACTTTCCTATTATCCTCTTCTGCTTAATCCCTTAGCCTTTATATTGGGTCATCGGGAAAATCACGACACATTTTTGCATAGAAAAATACATATGACTTTCTCAACAACCTAATAGTGAATATTTTACTCAATGAATCTGTTTATATGCAATCTTACCACACTAGCTTATAAGCAACATGAGGGCAGTCATTTTAACTTATTACTGTTGATTCCTGAATGCCTAGTACAGTATCTGCCAAAGGCACTCAAATATTTGATGAATGAATGAATCACTTTTTCAAATACTTTAGAAGCTATTACTATATACTTTCTTTTTTTTTTTTTTTGGAGAAGTGTTTGCTATAGGGTACATGCAATCACCAAGACAGAGAGACAGAAAGCCAGAAATCAACCCCTGGGGGAATGGCCACACCACAATCCTTTCTCCTCCATTCTCTTCTCAGGATCTTGGGCACACACACACATGTGCCCAACATGAATTTAAGCTACCGGGTCCGGGACTCAAACTGCAGTCGGCTACATGGGAGTCTAGCGACATAGCCATTACGCCAACTGCTGGTCCCACTATTACTATATACTTTCTAAAATGACATCTTAGAATAATCAATTCTATAAGTTTACTACCTGCCTGCTATGAAAATCACTTATTTTTTTCTTATTCTTTTTTTAATTTTTAAACTTTTATTTAACTTTATTTATTTATTTTAATTTGACCAGAGAAGGATGAGCAAGAAGGAGAAAGAGAGAGAGAGAGAAAGAGAAAGTGAGAAAGCAGGACCCGTAGTTGGCCAATGGTTATGGTTATGTCACTGAACTCCCACATGGTCAAATGTGGTCTGAGTCCCAGATCCAAAGGCTTGAAACTCACACCAGGTACATTTGTGTGCATGTCCAAAATTCTGGGAGGAATGGAGGATCCTGGGAGGAGAATGGATTGTGGTGTGGCCATACCCCAAGGGAAGATTTTTTTGCTTTCCAGTTCTCTGTCTCTGAGTCTCTAGCATGCATACACACCTTATAACAAAAATCTCTCTCTAAAAATTTCTCTGTTGAAAATAATATTGGGTTGTTAGAAAAGTCATGACATATTTTTTCATGTTTTTCTCTGCAAAAATATGCCATGACTTTTCCAACAATGCTGTGTGTGTGTGTGTGTGTGTGTGTGTGGATAGACAGATAGACATATAGATAGATAGATAGTAATAGCTTTGATATGACTACGATGTACTACACACATGCCTTGTAAAATCATATTGTATGTTATAAAGATGATGTGCAGTGAAAGAAATCATAAGATTAAGGAGGGAAAAAAACGTCCTGGGTTGACATCGTATGACCTCCCTGAGCACTGGGGGAGTGTGTGTACATGCCTGGGATCCAGACTGGTTGGGACTGGGGTGGATCACAGCATTGAGACCCTGCTGGGGACAGCTGTCTCTCTTTAGATAAACTTTTTTTTTTTTTTAAGGTTTTTGTCATAGGGTGTGTGTGCTCACCAGTGAGACAGAGACAGTGAGAGTAAACGTGAGAAATCATACCCCATGGGGAAGGCAACACTGCAATCCCTTCTTCTCCATTCTCCTGGGATTCTGGGGATGCACACATGCACACCCAGCATGAGTTTAAGCTCTCAGGTCTAGGACTTGAACAGTGGACTGAACACCACGCCACCTGCTGGCCACTAGATAAATAAACTTTAAAGATTTCTGATTCAGTACCCTATTCCTAGACTCTGATGACATAACTGAAACTTTAACAATACTTTTCATGCTGAAGGCAGTAGTCCAATTCCTCTAACATTTTTGTTCTCTTATCTGAAGCTTAGTAATCCTATTCTTTCTCAAGAAATGGGCTCAAAACTGCTTTGTCATAACCACAGCTTTTTATAAACATAAAAAAGTAGTTTTTAGCTCAATTTCCCAGGGCTTCAAAATATAGCACTACTGGGGCTGACAGGTGGTGTGGTGGTTAAGGTACTGGACTCCCACATGGCTGACTGTGGTTTGAGTCCTTGATCTGGTGGCCTATTTTCTCTCTCTTTCTGGTCAAACTGAAGAACAACAATAATAATAATAATAATAAATTAAATACTCTATGGCTTCTGAGAACTCGTTATTTCAGAGAAAAAAGAGAAATATTTTCAACTGATACTTCAGCCTCCAGCTCACAAACATGAGTGGTAGGGAGCCCCTCTAGCCTTCGCTCTGTCTCTCTCTCTCTGCCTCTGTTTCTGTCTTCTCATTTATTGGTAATTTTTCCTTTTTAAAAAATTTGAAGGTAAAGTATTCTCTTAGCTTTCAGCCCTTCCTTTATCTCACTAGTACTCCCCTTTCCCCTGCCCATCCAGGAGTGGCAAGGGGCAGGCCTTCAGAAGAAGACTCTTCCATGGCTCCTAAGAACTAGTGATTTCTGTGCCGTGCATTTTTTTTTTTTTTTTTTGAGAGGTTTTTGCTATAGGGCATGTGCACTCACCAGAAAGAAAGAGAGAAAGAAAGCAAGAAATCACCCCTCGGGGGGATGGTCATGCCGCAATTCCTTCTACTCCACTCTCCTCTTGAGATCTTGCGCATGCATGCACACGAGCCTAGCATGAGTTTAAGTCACTGGGTCCAGGACTTGAACCACGGTCGACTACATGAGAGTCCAGTGACAAAGCCATTACATCAACTGCTGGTCCCCTGTGCATTTTTGTTTGTTTGTTTGTTTTGGTTGTATTTTCTTAAATTTTTCTCTTTTCTCTCTGTTTGTTTTGTTTTAGTTTGTTTGTTTTTCTTTCTCTACCTCTTTCTCTGTGTTTCCTTTTCTTTTTCTTTTATCTCATCACTCTACTCCTCAATCTCCATTCTGTGTTTCTAGATGGACCTAATGGAACCATAGCCAAACATCCAAATACTATTAAGATTAACATATTCCTCAATATCCACTTAATCTGCTGTACAAAGAAATAAAAACAGAACAGCAAAGAGATTCCAGATCACTTCCTTCTGCACATTCCTGAATGCTCAGATTTAACTTCAAGAATTAGGAAGAGGGAACCAGCAGTTAGCGTAATGGCTATGTCGCTGGACTCCCACGTAGTCGACTGCGGTTCGTGTCCTGGACCCGGTGGCTTAAAACTCACGCTGGGCGCGTGTGCGTGCGTGCCCAAGATCCCAAGAGGAGAATGGAGGAGAAGGGATTGCAGCATGGCCATACCCCCTGGGGGGTGATTTCTCGCTTTCTGTCTCTCTGTCTCTCTCTGTCTCTCTCTGTCTTTCTGGCGAGCCCATGTGCCCTATAGCAAAAACCTCTCAAAAAATAAAATAAAATAAAGAATCAAATGGACCTGTTAGAGATGAAGATTATAATACAGGAAGTAAAAATCTCCCTTGAAAGTATTAAAAGCAGACTAGATCATACAGAAAATAGAATCTCAGACAGAAAAGAAAATTGCTGACCTAGAAAAACCCACCACAAAGACTGAGAAAACTGCCTCCAAAAAACTGAGAATATACAAGAAATACTAGATACCATCAAACGTCTAATCATCCATATAACTGGTATCCCAGAAGGCAAAGAGACTCATAAGGACATTGCGAAGAGACTCATAAGGTCATTGATAATCTATTCCATTAAATCCTGCAAGAAAACTTTCCAAACCTAGAGAGGCACTCCAAGATCCAGTCACAAGAAATACAAAGAACCTCAAATAGATCTTCTCCAAGACACATTATAGCCAGATTGACCAAAACCACAAAGAGAAGATACTAAGATTGGCAAGAGAAAAGCGGCAAGTTGTCAACAAAGGATGTCCCATCAGGTTAATAGCAGATCTCTCATCGGAAACAATGTGAGCAAGAAAAGAATGGGAAACTATATTCAAAGTGTTAAGGGAAAAGTAATTTCAATCAAGAATGAGGTACCTGGCAAGATTATCCTTCATATGGGAAAAAAAGACAAGAGCATTCTCAGATAAATAAAACCTGAAAGAATTTACCAGCACGAGACCAGATCTCCAAGAAGTTCTCAAGGGAATACTATACCAGGAAAATTAACTACAGACACACAGAAATAAGAGTTCAAAACTAAGAATATGGCCAACTAATTGTAGGGACAAGTCTGGAGTTGAATATTATATCCCAGAATTTAATCGGGAAGATCGAACCACAACAGAAAATAAATTAAGTACATGAGGCTGAACTGGTGAAATATTTTATGACTGTTGACTAAAACACTGCTGATTTTCTTCTAGGCTTTGGTTTCTGGTTTTAAGGATTTTTGTCCTGTCTTGAGCTGTGGATAGGTTCATGTACCTACTATTTGAACAGAATCCTAACCTGTTTCCTGGCTTTAAGTTTTAAGCAAAGTTCCTTAGCATTTCTTTGATTTATTAAAGTTAAAACTGTTTTTCTTGAAATTACCAGCTGAACTTGCTACTGAAAGTAGTTAGATTACATGAGAAATTGTATGATCAGAGACCAGCAGATAGCGTAATGTCTATGTCACTGGATTCCCATGTAGTTGACCGTGGTTC